GCTTTGCCATACTAAACAGAGCTAGAGCCAAGGGTTCCTTTTGGGGGATGCCAGAGAGTGAAGCTGAGAGGTAGTGAGGGACGGGAACATGAAGAGTCTTGTGAAACGTGTTCAAGTCAGTGTTCAATGAGGGATTTTTAAGCAGGAAAGTGAAATAAAAAATGGAACTTTAGAAATAAAGCTCTGATGGACAAATTAAAGATGGTTCCTACTAAAATTAACATAGCATGTACTACAACTTATAGCACATAAATATTTTACACCAAAATAATTTGTAAACTACTTAGATAGTATTATTGACTAGAGCTGAAGTGATAAAGGGAGGCCTAGGGGCAGAGCAGTCGTCTACCAAAAATAAACTGATCCTAAACAATTTTTGTTTTGCCTCATCGGCATTTTCACCCACATCACACATGGAGCCAGTGTCACACATGGAGCCAGCGTACACATAGTTCCTTGATAGAGCACTGTGGTTTCAGAATCCTCCCTTATCTGAATTTCATGTAGTGCATGCCTACAAAACCTGGAACCACTTTCTGCTTTGGTAAATTGAGGTCAGATTGACCCCTGAGGTCATCAAAACATGAATTCCAAAAGTCATTGAGAATAGTCTTTTGTTTTATAATTCCAAGTTTTAATCTAGCATGCCAGAACCATCTGGCTCTTCTGTAACATGGTACAAGTTTTAATAACTATACAGTTGTTTTTTTCCTCCCACATAGATGATGTCATCAACACTATAAAATCTGAAGATTTTATAACTCTGTAACAAGTCTACAAACTGTGTATATTTTACAAGCAAGCAAGCAAAATGTTATAGTTGTTTAAAATAAAAAGACAGCCCCGAAACACTGCTAATATTGTTAAACTGGTTGAGCAATTTTACATTTTAAGACCACTGCATTAATTAACTATATTATTTAGACTTTCCAAATTCATCAACATAATTTCTTTGTATTGTGGCCAAACTAAGCATACTAAAAAAGGAAAAGAAAAACTTTGCCAACCTTCCCACTAGCTCTGAGTTTGACTGATAGTATACCATCTGCTAACTAAACAGCATTTTCTAATAGATAACTGATACTAGGGAAAATCATTGCAAAACAGAATCTGACTTGTTTGCTTAAGTTGAAACTGAACACCAAAAGCAAACTTATAGTTTCAGTTTCTTCCAGATAAGACCAAATTGTATTTCAGTCTAGATTACTAGTTATTCCTTCAAAACAGTAAGCAGTCTAAATATACAAATCTTAACTTATTTTTAAAACTAAAAACCTTATTTAAAAATCAAAAAACTGGGCCCTCCCTGGTGGTGCAGCGGGTTAAAGCACAGCACTAAGAAGCTTAAGCCACTTCTGCATGAGTTCTATTCCCGCCTGCCCTGGAGGAGATCCACATGGCGCGGCAGACCTCTCCTGACCCGCCCCCTGCTCCCCTCAGCAGTGTACTTCATCGATTTGCCTGTTCTGCTCCCCACTCTGTCTCTGGTGAGGCCTCTCGCTGCCCCTGAGCCTCTGGCCTTGTACCCCAGTCTGTATGCACAAATAAATAAATCTTTAAAAAAAAAAATCAAAAAACTGAGCCAGCTTGCTCTTGCCACATGCTGGTGTTGGAGGAACCTCCCTGCTTCAGATTTACCAACAGCATGAATCAAGAAAAGTTAGCCAAACTTCAGGCTCAGGTCCGGATAGGGGGCAAGGGTACAGCTCACAGTTAGAAGAAGGTGGTACATAGAACAGCTACAGCTGATGACAAAAAATTCAGAGTTCTCTAAAAAAACTGACTGTCAATAATATAGCTGGTATTGAAGAGATCTTGTAGAAAATTTTGATGAAGCATCAAAGAATGAAGCTAACTAAACTGGATTTTTGGTAGCTGACATGGGCTAGATTTAACAAATCAGCTATGTGGTTCCAAAGTTTTACAGACACAGAGAACAGCAACTGTTACTAGTTCAGTTATAAATATTTTGTATATTAATAATGCTGTTTGTTCAGCATTTTTTGGTCATTTGATTTTGCCTTTTGCACTTCCTCCCAGGATCTGTTCTGTACGAAGTATTAGTACAGTTTGAGGGTATTTTGATTCTTGTTTTTCTGTTTTATTGGGGTATTTTTGGTGTGTGTATATGTATGTATGCATGTGAGTATGTGTGTATACAGTGAAGAAAATAGTTCTATTAACCTCCTTCTTCCCCCAGTTAAATCTTTACATTTAAAAAAAAAATAAAAAAACTTTAAAGTTTAGATCCAACTTACATTACCTTTTTATGCTTTACACCTTTGTTCCTCAAGTTCCTGAGCATTAGTTGACCAGAGAAGTCAACAAATTAAGTGCAATTTTAAAGTTGTGATTTAAAATTTTAAATTTGCAAATCTACTATATTACTAGGCCTAACAAACTCAGCATAACTCTAACTCAGTATTTGACTGTTGGAATTGTTCATTTCCAGTTTTGCACTACTATAAAAATTTGCTTCTTTACTACTTGTGTATTTTTTAAAGAGAAAAATCATAATGAGATTTAATAATAACATGTATACCTCCTGTATACATGGAAGAGACCCAGTGAGACTGAGTAATTCACCACATGGCTTTAGGCACCATCTGAAATAACCTTTTGGAACACAAAGGTATTCATCCTGTACCCCTATTGATTCTTCTAAACTGGTAAATAGCCAAACAGGCATTAGAAGTTTAATAACAACATGTGTACATTCTGTATACATGGGAGAGATCCAGCTGAGTAACTTGCTGTGTGGTTTCAGCTGCTATCTTATATAATAGCTTGGCTAAAGACAAGTGGGCTGGGAGAAAGGTCAGTTAGGGAGTTTACCAAGGGAGGAGCCACAAATTGGTGAAGAATAAACAACATGCTACTAAACTACCGGATCAATGAGGAAATCAAAGGTGAAATTAAAAAATACACTTGAGATGAGTGAAAATGAAGATAAGACATTAGAACCTATGGGATGCAGTGAAAACTGAAGAGGGAAACTAATAGCAACACAGGCCTAACTCAGAAAAAAGGAAGAATCACAAATAAAAAATCTAAGCTTATAACTATAAAGAAACTAGGAAAAGAAGGAGAAGCAAAACTGGAATAGACAGAAGGAAACAATGAAAAGTAGAACAGAAATTAACAAATAGAGATTTTTTTAAATCCAAATATTAAGAGTTGGTTCAGTGAAACGATGAATAAAGGAAACAAGTCATTACCCAGACTTGAAGAAAGAGAAAACACAAATGAATAAAATCAAAAATTAGGGCTCCCCTGGTGGCGCAGCGGGTTAAAGCACAGCACTGAGAATCTAAAGCTGCTTCCGCATGAGTTCGATTCCCACCTGCCCCAGAGGTGACCACATGGCGTGGCAGACCTCTCCTGACCCACCCGCTGCCCCCCTCAGCAGTATACTTCCATGATCTGCCTGTTCTGCTCCCCACTCTGTCTCTGGTGAAGCCTCTCACCCTCCGCAACTCTGGCCTGTACCCCAGTTCTGTATGAATAAATAAATCTTTAAAAAAAAATCAAAAATTAAGGAAAAGTTACAAGAGATACTTCAGAAATACAAAAGATCATAAGAGACTATTACAAACAATTATGTGGTGACAAATTGGACAACTTATAAGAAATGGGCAAATTTTTAGAAACAATAAAAAGCTCCAAATATATTATTTGGGACTGATTCAGGAAGAAATGGAAAACATGAACAGATCCATCATGAATAAGGAAAGATCAGCAATTCCTCATGTAGTTATCCAGCCAGAGAATACAAAAACATGGTACACATACTCATATTTCTCTGCAGCACAATTTATAACAGCCAAGTTATGGCAACAACATAAGTGTCTAAGAACAGATGAGGGTATTTTAAAGATGTGATATATATATATATATATATATATATATATATATTTATATATATATATATATATTTATATACTACTCAGCTATAAAAAAAATAGATAAACTTAATATTTGCTACAACATGGACAGAACTGGAGAGGATAATGTTAAGATAAGTCAAAGGAGAAAGACAAATACAATAGTTTCTTCCTTATGTGGACTATAGATGTACAAAACAGAGGGCCAGAGATAACCAAACAATAACAAACCCTAGAAATCTGACTGTAAACTTGAGGCTACCCTAGGAGGAGAAGTAGAGGGCCAGCGCCAAGTGGGAAGCAGCTCCATGACGATGGCAGGAGACCATGGGTGTGGCATGGTAACACAACTGAAGGGTGTAAGCAGTTACTTCTAGTCATATATAATGTTGTAAACTAGTGTTACCTCAGTAAAAATTTGAGTTAAAAAAATTCAAATAATAATAATTTATCTTTAGTATTATATACATTAGATCACATTAATTGTGACAAATATATTATCCTAATATAAAACATTAACAATAAAAGAAACTGTACAGTTAGAAAATGTCTGACCTATCTTTGCAACTCTTTTGTGAATTTAAATGATTCTAAGATAAATCTTTACTTCAAAGTAAAAAAATACTACAGGCTCTTTGAAAAACTGTAATCAAAAGCCTCCCACAAAACAAAAATCCAGGACTAGATGACTTCACTAGTGAATTATATTAAACTTTCAAAAAAGAATCAATATTATCCTACAGAAATTCTCATAAAATTGAAAAGAAGGGGAAACTTCCCAAAACACTCTATGATGTCATCATTACTGTGATTCCAAAACCAGACAAGATCACAACAAAGAAACCTAGAGACCAATATTCTTGATGAACATAGATACAAAAATCCTTAAAACCTGGACTAATGAATTCAGCAGTAAATAAATCATACATCATGATGTATAATGCAATTTGTCATACAGTCAACAATGGGTGACCTCCCAAATATGTGATAGCCCAAAGTTAGTTATAAAAAATATATTTCTTTGAAATATGGTTTCTATCAGTCATGTAAAGTTCATAAAACCACTCTTCAAACAAACACTGTGAAACTAGTTAAGGCACATAAATGCATACAAACCTGTAATATTGCTCTTTCAGGTAACAGTGAAATGTCAAATACATAAGACACTTTAGATATGCTTTGTCCATGAAAAGTGGGTTCATCTGCAGCAGGTTTTAACTTGCTTTTCCATGTTTTCAATTGAATTTCATGTTGTAACAACTGCCGTGAAAATAATTTACAAATCCCATGGAATTATTGTAAGGGTTAAATGAGATGTTATATGTAAAACACAATGCTTGACAAAGATAGCATTATAAAACTTTATTGTCATCATTATTGCCTAAGTTATCATGGTACATAGCGTGCTTAATATTCTCTGAACCAACAAGCCATTGTGGATGATTTCCACTAGTTATCATACAATATTGGCACAAATAGCCACCTTGAAGATATGGTCCAGCCACCTTGTACACAAGGTGAGGAAACTAAAATACACAAACTCAAGGTTCTGGTTATGACAGAACTGGTTTATGGGGTATGAAGGGGAGGGAGATGATTGGCATAAAAATGAAAGAGGAGAGTCAAGAGGAAAGTCTCCATTTTAACTGTTGGGCATTCCTAAAAACCATATAATAAGGAGAAGGATTCACACACACAATTTTGGAGTAAGATGTGTTAGAGCCCCAGGAAGAGCACACAGGTGAGAACTAGCACACAGAAGTGTCCCCACTTCTCCCAGCACACACCTGCCATCCTCACTCCATCTAACTGAATACATAATAACTGTGAGACCAGGAAATCACATAACTAGAAAAATAAGTCTCTCAACTCCCAATTAACTGTCTAATACACGTCTGTATTATGATTATCATTATATTAAATATGCATTATCATATAAACATATCATTACTTTGCAAAACATTCACCTAGTGTATAAGGACAATTAAGAGAATTGACTGAACCTTTCTGCTCTCAGGGGTGTTCAATAAGGGGGAGGGTAGTTTGTTAAAGGGGCAGAAAGGTTATGTGTATTCATCTATTTCACTATTAGACAATGATCAAACGTAGGCTGGGGTCAAAACACTTGCTAAATCTGAATGCGCAGATGAAACAGCTATGCCCTAAGCATGCCATTCAGCTGGCAGCACTGACAGTGTAGTCCGCTATCTCAGAGGCCAGCTCACAGGAACACCAGATCACTGTAGTGGATAGTGAAGTTCTGGATACCAAGAACCAAGCTTTACCTATCTCAGTATACTCTGAAGACATAAGCACTCTTGAGGAATTAACTTTTCATGTCTTGGTGCATGTGTGATATCGTCAGTCACCGCCTCTGAACCAATTTGGGCTGGGGTCATTGATCCCCCTCCACACGGTGACCACAAAACATGAAAATTTTGTCCCTCTTTTTCCCTTCCTATTTATCCTGACTTTGTATTTCAAGGAGTATTAATAATGTAACTATAAATATTTCCAGTATGTTTCTATGGCTGATCATAGTAGTTACAGTGAATATGCTAAGTCAGCACTAAATAATAGTACAAGATAGTTTAAATGAACTGAAATCTTTTTTAAATTTGGAGGAGTTTGCTTAGGTCCTCTATTTTAATTGACTTAATTCCTGGTGGATGTCCCAATTAAGAATGATATTTTAACTTTAGCATTTTGGTAGATAAAAAGAAATTATTATTAAGGTCATAATGTGTTAACTGACAGTTGAAAAAGAATAAATAGCAATTTATTCTTCTTTAGAAAATAATAAATTGTTTTTATTTATAATACTCACCAGTTTCTTTTCCATTTCAGGCATTATTCCATCTAATATTTCCTTAAATGAAACTCTTAATCTTTATCAATAAATTTGAACAAAATTTTTAAAGATTTTTCCTTGATGCTTATAGTTTATACAAAACAGAATTTAATAGGAAATATTTTAGGCAGCTGAAGTAAAACTTAAGTTATATGGTAAAAGAACAAAGGCCTCAACAAATATTGATATATAATACTTAGAATTTTAATTTTTTTCTACTCACAGTAGCATTAATATAATAGTAAAATTCCATTCCTAAAATAAACTAATTTTCCAGTAAACCATACCAGCGCATCTTCTCTCATTTTATACTTTTGTCTTGCTTTAGCTCTCCATTTAGTTAGTATAGTTATTTGTTTCTGATTATGGACAATCTGTTGTATCCGTGATAGTACAGCTGAGGAAAAAAGACTGGATCACCGGATAGAACTAAAGCCAAGAAACAACATGCTTAATACCCTTCACATCTTTAATATGACCCAACATTTTACCTGATACTTTTTGTTTGATTTTAATTGCATCTCAGATTAATTACTCTTGACTACAGTAGGCAGACTTTAACAACCTGCAAACATTCACTTTAAACATTAAGTTGTAACTTTAAACATTAAGTTGTAATGTACATGATAAAATATCAAGACAGGTAACCATTTTTTTAAAGATTTATTTATTTATGCATACAGAACTGGGGTACAGGCTGGAGGTGCAGGGGCAGTGAGAGGCTTCACCAGAGACAGAGTGAGGAACAGAACAGGCCGGCTGATGAAGTACACTGCTGAGGGGAGCAGTGGGCAGGTCAGGAGAGGTCTGCTGCACCATGTGGGTCACCTCCAGGGCTAGGGATTGAACTCATGCTGAAGTGGCTTTAGTTTCTTAGTGCTGTGCTTTAACATGCTATGCCACCAGGGAGAGCCCAGTAACCATTTTTTAAATAAATTTGTTCTTTACAAAACAAGAACTTCCAAATTTATTCAGAGAAATACAGTCAAGATGTAGTATTCTGATTTAGTTAAATGTCCTATTATATATTAGATAGAAATGTCCCATGTAAGTATTTTTAACCCAGGTTCCAAACTCAAACTCATCAGGAAGATGGCAAAGGTAGACCATGGACATTGCTTCTAGAGTGCAGTGGCTTCTTAGCTGCAGGCAATTGTTTTCTCTCAGAAACAGAGGCCATTTTCCTAGATGTTAAGACCTCTGGAGCATCCTCCTCTGGCCCATGAGGAGGAAATGATTTTCTGATTGGCAACAGCCATAAACAAGTCTACTGTCTGATAAGCTGGATAATAAAATCTAAGCAAAAGGCTGGAGTTCTCTCTCTGTGCTGCTAAAATCAAGCACGTGCACTGTCTGCTCATATGGCTATCATGGTTTTAAGTAAAAGAAAATTCATATCACCATTTCTATCATATATATCTATCATATCTATAAAGATTGTAGCATTGTCTATCAGAATAGTCAATTTGGTAATCATCAATATTTTACCAGTTCTCTACTATGTAAAAAAGGCTGATACAGGATTCTTATTTATATTTACATTAGTATATAGATCACACAAATACAGATAAAATACATTTTATTTTAAATTCACCTGTTTTCAATTATGATAAAACCCTTTGAGACATATCTCATTAAATACTTTAATTTAGTGACTTTACATTTTATAATAGTTTTCTGGATACAGAATAATAAATTCTCTAGTACAGACTATGTTTGACTCTTAAGTCTGTTGTACTTAAGGGTCCAAATGAATACAAAACCATTAGGTTTCTACAATGTAAGAATTTACCTTGAAGTCGTTCTTTTCTGTCTTTCACATAGGCATGCCAACGACAAAATACATATTTTTTAAATTTGAAATTGTTGTAATCCTTTGCTCTTGCCATTTTTTCAGCCATAACTGCATCATCATTTATAACTGGTATTGCTATGTCTCTCCAAGAGCTACATGTAAAAAGTAGAAATAAATGTTATTTTGATGCTATATATTAGTAAATATATTAGTAATAAAAGGGAAAAGAGGTAACACCTCCCTTACCTCTTCAAAAGCATAGCCTAGAAATAAATTGGGTGGTTTTTTTTTTTAATTGTTTTATTTCCAGCCTGTTCTTATATTCCTTTGAGCATGTTCTTTCCTTTTCTACATCTCTAAAACCTAGAATGTTCTGGAATCTAACGGATTTTTTCCCCTATAACCTACTAAGAGGTGGAACTAGACCTGAGCTAGACAAATGTAATGTCAAACTGAATCTGGCACATGGATGTTTATAGTCTTTCTTCATTTCACTATGTTCAGATATGTTTGGTTCCAGCACAACACTCCTAACACCAATGAGGATAGTATATGTAGAGACTTTCTCTCTAAAATTGAAACAAAAAGAAAAAAGGATAACGGGACTATACTTGCAATTTTGAAGTTTTATTTAAAAAGAACCAAGTGATAATTTGAAGAAGTAATAAACACATGTTAGCTTAGTAAAAGTCAGTTCAATATAGAATACATAATACAAAATGATGATGACAGGATTAAATAGACACAAGTGGTCTAAAGTGAGTTTTTCTTTATATGGAGAATATTAAGAATGAGAACCCAAAGAGAAAGGAGCAGTATATAAAAATCACATTCTTACCAAAAGTGGGTCTTCATTAAACGTCCAGTATAAAAAGTACATGCTTTTATCATTAATTCTGGAGTCATCTAAAATAAGTAAGTGAAATGGCAAACATTAGAAATAAGAGAATGCATAATTGGTCATTTTGTTGATCTACATAATTACCTAAAAACATCAACAGGGTAAATTTTGCTGCTACTTATAAAGTCATCTCTAAATATTCCTCCCAGGAAGGTATGCACTAGATTTCATCTAAGTGAATTTCATCTTACCTAGCAGAGTTTCAGTAAGTTGGAGCTGTGCATTCCTAAACACAGCAGGCTTGCTTTTAGATCTATTACAATATAGAAGCCACCAGGAAAAGAATTTCGGTATTGTTTTCTCTGGGTAGAGGAAAACAGCCCTTTTATGAGACAAACCACAACACAAAGAAAAACTGTTAACTAGTTCAGAGTATTTGTAACAGATAATGCTGCTTTGAATAATTTGTGTTATATTTTAGAGTCCTCATAAATAACCCCCAGTAGTATTTACATTTCAGCTAGATGGTCAATTAATGTGTGATGTACAAGGAATTATGAAAGGTATGTAATGCACAAAGTATTTTACTGCAAGTACAGTCTGGCTAGGGAAAAAAAAATAAGACCCCCCTCACATGTGAATGTAAAACATTTAATTTAAAAATGTTGACACTGCAATAAATAAAATAGCTATTATAAATGTGTATAGTGTATTCTATAGCAGTTCTTTTTTTTTTCTTTTTGAGGAAACAGCCTTATGGTTAAGATGTTGATTGATTGATTCATAAGATTTGTATCTCTGCCTGTGAAAAAGTCCACATTCTATCACAGTGATATGTCAGACTTAATGGCCCCAATTGATAAAGTATTTGGATCAAGTTACAACTGGTTTTACTGCAAAAGAACCCTGTGTCCATTTGTCATTCTACCTTATATCTTCCCAACATATCTTTTAAAAAAAAAAAAAAAGATTTATTTGTTCATACAGAACTGGGGTACAGGTCAGAGGCTCAGGGGCAGTGAGAGGCTTCATCAGAGACAGAGTGGAGGGGGCAGGACAAGCAGATTGATGAAGTACACTGCTGAGGGGAGCAGCGGGTGGGTCAGGAGAGGTCTGCTGTGCCATGTGGTCACCTCCGGGCAGGTGGGAATCCAACTCTGTGGAAGTGGCTTTAGCTTCTCAGTGCAGTGCTTTAACCCACTGCGCCACCAGGGAGGGCCAGTCCCAACATATCTTTAACAAGTAGAAACGTGCCTTATGAAAATCAGGAAATATTGCCCATCCTATTCATACTGCATATCTCAATTTGTCACTCATAAGAATAGTGTTCATATTACTGAATTTTCCACATTTATCTGACTGAAAGAGGAAATGACTTAAGCAGCATATTATAATTTCTTATCCCAAAAGTCACATATTAAACCAATGTATCTTACTGAGTTTACTATAAAACACCATAAAAATTGTCTTCACTTAAGCTCTCTCTTCCTGTATATAGTCAGCCAACTGGGTGTCCGGTTATGATGGTGACTCCCTTAATATTCTCAAACAATCCACCAGATGATTCCACCAGCCTCCTGAGCCACCAAAGGCAGCACACTGAAGCCTCAGGTCGTGTTTGAAATCCAGAGGCATCTTCCTCACCAACCTCTCTAAAGGCAGCTTCCAGATCAGAAGAAGGTGGGTAGATTTCAGGTACCCAGGAACTTCTAGAAGCATAACAGCCCCAGACTGCAGCATGGAGGTTTTTACCTCACTGGTCGAGGGGGCGCTTTTTCTGGAAAATGTAGTGGCCAGCTGTTTGCCAGGCACTTTCTATCTGTAGATTTCCCCCACAGTTAGCTTGGTTAGGCAATTTCTTTTTTCTTTTGAACTGCGTGGTGATACTTACTGGTTCAGCCTGGAAAAATACCCCTTTTTAAATTTCACACAGCAAAGTGAGTTAAAAACATCACTCATCAAGTAAATAATCTAAATAGAACTTGCCAAAGTAGCCTCATCTCAATAGGACTGGAGGGCCCGATCACTTAAGTACCTGGGGCCATTAAGGAATGTGTCACTTTTTTTTTTTTTTTTAAGACTTATTTATTT